TTCTTGCAAAGTCCTATTCTTCCTTTCTACAACTCTATTTTATTATGGAGTTCTAGGACAGGAGAAATCATGGGAAATGCCACGAGAATTAAATAGATCCTCAAAGTATCTATTCTCAAATTCTCTTCCATGATCACTTCTGACTTTGTCTGTTTTGCAATTCTTCTCTATTTGCACTTGAGATCAAAAGGTAGAGAACACAAAATGTGACTCATTCTTGTGTTTTAAAAACTTTACCCATGTCAAATGACTATAGTTATCAATGATAACTAATCCGTACTTCTTTCCATTGATTAAAGTAGTTTTCACTGGTCTAAACAAATCAACATGTAGAATTTCTAACGATCTAGAGGTGGAAACAACATTTTTTGCTTTGAAGGAAGTTTTAGAGAACTTTTCTTTCTAACATGCTTCACAAAAGGGCATCTAAAATAAACTTCAGGTTTGGTAAGCGTCTGACCAATTCAAGCTTATTTAGATGAGAAATCCTCCTCGTGATAACATGGCCCTAACGTCTATGCCATACCTATTTCTCTTTGTTAACAGACATTAAGCATTTGGAATTCTATTTACTGAGATCAGAAAGTCTAATCTTGTAAATGTTGTTTTTCCTCTTCCGGTAAAAAGGATTGAGCCATCTTTCTGACCGACAACCTTACAGTACTTTTGATTAAAGATAATATCCTAACCATTGTCACTAAGCTGACTGATAGACAATAAGTTATGCATCAAACCATCGACCAGAAGAACATTATTAATAGAAGGAAGTTTACCATTACTGATAGTTCTAGAGCCAATGATTTTTCCTTTCTAGTTTCCTCCGAAACCAACGAAGCCTCTAGGATTAAGTTCTAAAATTTGGAACATATGCCTTCTTCCTATCATGTGTCACAAGCAACCACTGTCCAAGTACCATGATTGGTGTTTCAATGGAGTTACTAAGGATGTCTGCAACATAAACTATCTTTTCCTTAGGTACCCACTTTCTGGGTCCTTTTTTGTTAGTTTTCTCAAAGTGTTAGAAACTTTGGGTTTATGCGCAACAAGATAATTAAGTAGAATTTGTGCCTGATATTTAGGTTTAGAAACAAATTTCTGTGTCGGTGGAGGTTTCTGTGCAAGCTCAAAATAAACAGGTTATGTGCCAGCAGGTACAAAGTGCTTATAAAGAGGTTTTCGTTTTACCACGACAATTTCATCAATATTAGAGGTATTTGTACAACCTAAACCTTTCTTTCCATTTCTACTAACTCCATATATTAAGAGAGAAATGTTTCTTCTATCTATGCTTTTAGTCAGAAAGTGCTGAAAAGCTCTGTCATATCTAAATACATAGTTGGTACCAGAAGCATCTGGACTTATTTCTTCTTCTAATTTTCAGATTTGACTTCTCATAGTAGAGTTTGAATTTTCTAAAGAAAATATTTTTCATTTAAAGAAGAAATATTCTCTTCATGCTTCTCACAAGTTTCAAAAGCAATTACTTGGACTTGTTTAAGGTCTTTGTATTTGCTTTGAAGACTTTGATACTTCTCTAGTATTTCAGAAAGACATGATTCTAAATTAGAACGAGAGAGATTAGAAAATACCTCTTCTGAATCATGATCAAATTCTAATTCTGAGTCTAATGATACTTTTTCTTCGGGTTCTCTAGAGACTTCAGCATTAGAGGTTGTTGCCATCAATGCAACATTAGCTTGTTCTTCTTCAGAATCTTCTACTTCAGAATCAGATTCGTCCCAGGTAGCGGTGTCCGCCATTGTTTCTCTCATACACACACATACACAATGGATCGGTACTGAACACGGTTAAGTGTTTGATAAACTTTTATCACAATCGGAACCGGAGCTATGATGCCAATTGAAGGTGAGAAAAACACAAGAAAGAGGGGGGGGGGTTGAATTTGGGTTTTAAAAAACAAAAGCTTTTTACTCACTCAGTAAAAATCACGTAAATAAACAACAAAGAGAAATACACTTCAATTTTTATACTAGTTCACTTGAAAATCTCAAAGTTAATCCAGTTCACTCGCCAAAGTGATTTTGCCTTATACTCAAGGACTTAATCCCCTATAATCAACTAATTACAACTGCACTAGCAATCGTTGGTGACTAGCAAACCACAAAGACACACAGTCTATGTCTTCTCAAAGTTTCTGACCTAACGGGTCCCTTAAGGAAATACAAACAATAGTTTGATTACAACTGCACTAGCAACCACAGGTGACTAACAAACCACAAAGACACACAATCTATTCTTCTCAAGGATTATGACCTAACTGGTCCCTTAAGGAAATACAAACAATAATTTGATTACAAAGTTGTGTTTACAAAGATTGCTTCTACACAAGCAGGTATAAACAAGTTAAAAGCACAATACACTTAAAGAAAATTTTGCACAAATTTATACAATAGTCTTGTAAATTACTTGTGTGCACTAATTCTTCAAGTCTTCAAGTCTTTATATAGCCAGTAAAAAATATCCTTTGAAGGGTAGGTCTGTTATTCTTCATGAATGAGCCGGCGACTTGAGTAAAGGTTTGATACGGAGGGGACAAGAATCGTACTACCTCATACTCCACGAAATCTGCTTAGTGGAAGGAATATTGGTTTGTACCATGTACTATTTTTCCTTTCTTTTTCACTTGTTTCACTTTAATCAGAGTTAAGATACTCGATATATGATCAAATTACTACACATTGGTATAACTGAATTGGTCCCAATGCGTCACACTTCTATTTAATCTTGCAAAAATTGTTCGATTTCTCTACTTTAGAATTTTGGCATAAAGTTTGGATCGTGCGGCTATACTGTTGAAAACGTTATGTTTTCCTTTTGAAGCCTGATAACACCTCGATGTCCTATAATCCCTTCACTATTAGATGATTATTTTTGTAATTCTTATGGAATTTTTGGATCAGGACGCTTGAGGAATGGTCGCGTCACGATTCACTATCTTTTGCATTTATTTTTTATTTTCCTTCTATTCTTCGTGTGTTAGTTCTATCCTTGCTTCATCATCATAATTTGATAGTAAAAGTATTATGTTATTTGTCTAGTTAAAATGATTTCGACTTGGTTTGGTCTTTCCCATAAATCTTTGAAATATTTATAAAAAGCTATAAAAGCAAAATGCATTAACATTAAAGGTCTTTAAAATTAAAAGAATTTAACTGTAAAAATATCATATGATAGACTGTTATCAATGTTCTCCTTCCTAATGTCGGCCTTTCTTAATACATGGTCCCACAGGACCAGTTGTAATGAGACGACTTTATTATTATTTTTAAATGCCATTTTCTATTTTACTATGATCTAACTCTTCTAATAGGTCCAACTATTCCCTGCATCCTTCTTTGCTCTCTTCTTTTAGAAAAGGGTTCACATATCTTAACTAAACACCCCTATTTTTGAAGGAATCCCTGTCTCCCCTTGAGGTGATTGCATGTTAGATCCTCTTGAAGGAATCTTTGTCGCCCCTGGATGTAATTATATGTTAGATCCTCTTGAAGGGATCCTTGATGCCCCTCGAGGCGATTACATGTTGGATCCTCTTAAAAGAATCCTTGTCGCCCCTCGAGGCGATTAAATGTTGGATCCTTGTAAATAAATTCTTGTCACCTTCATGGATATTGCATTGAATACCCATGAAGGAGCCCACTCATCACCTGACGATAATCAAAGCCTGTCTAGGAAAACCTCTCGCCGCCTTTGGAATAACATGAGCATTTCCGAGTGGGGATCTTCACTCCCAAAAATGACCATTTTAATACTAGCTACAACATGGCATACATAGACAAATTACAAGAATACTATTAATTAAAGACCCAAAGGTGGGTAACAGATTACAAAAATATAAGGGTAGACCCTCATAAAGGCGTTATGGGCCAAGACCTTAAACCACTTGTCCTCTAAAGGATCACTGAAGCAATGGGCATAGTCTGCATGACATCCCCTAACAACTTTAAATAAATACATCCTACTTAGGCCCAACCCTAAATCGAGAAAGGTTACATGTTCTTTCACCCGCTCGAAGTAGATATAAGAAGTAACTACCAAGTCATTCTTGAAGGTAAACATTTCTTATTCATGCCTCTTGAGAGAATTTAGGGCCTCATTCAAAGACCCCTTTACCTTGGCAGTAGCAGCAATGTCAGTTCGCGCCTCTAATTCCATCGTTTTTAGCAAGACCTTTAGATTGTCTTTCTTCGACACTAGGACCTTTACAATTTCTTGGCGCAGAGCGATAACTTTCTGAGCTGAGACGAGTTTGGACTTCATATCCTTAATAGATATGGCATGCTTGTCACAATGAACTCATATGATCAGAAGAATCCTTAACAGGTGTGCCTCAACCAAAATGGATTAATGAAGAAGAACATGATGACAAAATGAAAATACTGACGTAAATGCCACACAAACGAATTTTAACGTCATTTAAAAGGAATGGATGAAAATGACTAAATAAGGATCAATATGAATATATATATATATATATATATATATATATATATATATATATATATATATATATATATATATATATATATATATATATATATATATATATATATATATATATATAAAAGTTAGATAACCAATATTAACTTGACCATAAGAGACTAAAAATATATATATTAGTAACAACTCATCACACTATTTTACTGAAAAATTAAATGTGAAGATGTTTCTATCTGTTTACATTTTTTATTAGATTAATTATTCGGTGGATGAAATGATTTTTTTAATACATGTCTTATTATTATTATTATTTAATTTTAATCATTTTAATTTTAATTTATTAATTTATTAAAAAGATTCTTGTCTCTTAATAAAAGCAATGGCTACTTCCACAAGCCAATGAATTTTAAAAACATAATACCCACAAGTAAATTTATCTATTTACACCTTATAACATTCAATATCAATAAGTGGTTGAAGTAAATTCTTATACTGCAATATTCAAATACAAATACAAATAAAAAAGAAAAAAAAGAAAAATGAGTTTCACCGACAAACAGGAGGCTTTGGTGAATAGCTCTTGGGAATCTTTCAAACAAAATCTTCCTCAATATAGTGTTTTGTACTATACTATGTAAGATTTTTCTTAAAGGGTGTTGGTTTTGTGTTTTTTTATTTAATTATTGATTGGTTTAATTAAAATGGAATAAGGTAAACTAAAAATATTGTATTATTGTTTTGATTGAATTTAAATAGTTTGTTGGAGAAAGCACCTGCCGCAAAAGGTATGTTTTCTTTTTTAAAAGACTCAGCTGAAGTACAACATAATGCAACATTACAAGCTCATGCTGAAAATTTTTTTAGGTTGGTAAGTATACTCTAACATCAATTAATTTCTTTTACTTTTTATTCTTTACTCAATGTTAACTTAACGTCAATGTTATTCTTAAAATTGATAGAAATTTGATCATATGTATATATATTTTTAAATTTTTGTAATTTTTTTAAATTAATATGTTTCAAAGAATAACATAATTACTCGTCATATAATCATATAAATATTTAATCATACAAATATTTACTAGTAATTTTCATTTTTATATATTTTTTTCAACCTAATTACTATGTCATAATATATGCATTTATAATTTTTAAATTATAGGTGCGTGACTCAGCCGTTCAACTTCGAACAAAAGGAGAGGTAGTTTTAGAAGATGTTACATTGGGTGCTATTCACGCTCAAAAGGGAATTGTTGGTCCACATTTTGTGGTATGATAACATTATATGATATTTTAGTGTATTCTTCTCAAATACAAAATAATTAATTTATATAATTTTTTATTATACTAATATATTAAAATAATTATTTTCAATAGAGTTTTAAAATATTTACCAATCTTCTAAAAATAAAATTGCTAACAAAAAATATTTTGATATTTTTAAAGGTGGTTAAAGAAGCATTGCTGAAAACAATAAAAGAAGTGGTAGGAGACAAATGGAGCGATGAACTCAGCACTGCTTGGGAAGTAGCTTACGATGAATTAGCAACAACAATTAAAAAAGCAATGAGTTCAAATTAGAATATATTTTATAAATAAGTTTTAAAATAAAATGTATACCACTATAACTTGTTTAACAAGTTTTTATAATAAATAATATTTGAAATAATTTATTAATGTGATCTGTAGTCAAGTTTGTGAATTTCAAAATCTAAAATCTAAATAGACTCGCTAGATCAAGAAAATGTGTTTATGCTTAGCCTTGCGAATTGAACCTACATTTTAAAATACTCGTCCAAATCCGCTTAGAGTTTGATAAGAAAAATCTACTTTAATTGAGTTTGAGTTTAGGTTTTTCACAATTTCAAAATACGTGGATAAGATGAGTAATGAGGATATTAGTATCCACGTCGAACCTGCCATGTTTATATCAATATAGTCAGTAATATTTAGGAAAAGAAGTAAAACAAAATTGGTGTTGGCTACTTGTTTACTTGTGTTAGAAATTTAAAAGAACAAGGATGTAGAATTTTCTTGTATATATAATTGTTTTAATTGTAGTTTGGAATGCATAGTAATCTTGATTATGTGGTTATTTTGATGATAGTTTGAAATACGAGTTAGTACATTTTTATTTAGTTTAAATAATTTAGAATATAATGTTAGACGACGACAATGATCTAGAAGAGAGATTGAATAGATCACTAATTCTTATACAAAGTCGACGCTTATGATAAATTAGTATTTAAAACTTTTTAAGTGGAAGCGGTCGAGGAACTACAATTATCTAAATGAACCATTACCAAAAAGATCAGATATACGCTACGCCTATATGGAGTACTAATTAAGATGAGAAATCGAATCAAAAGTTTGAACACAAATCAATATGATTTTATTCACTCAAAGTTGTTCAATTTTCAATGCTTTGTGAAAAATAAACTCAAGTTGAAAAACAACCCAAAATGTTTGTGTTCAAGCAATTTGTCGAACATGTGGTGTGCAAAGCACTCCAAGTAAAATTCACTATGTAAATGTAGTGCTAAACTTTTCCAATTACAACCAAACGGATTGTAATGAGTTTTTAAAATATGTTTCAGCACTACAATAAACCAGAATTTTAGTCAACCAATTTGATTGCACACAAACGTAAAATTCAGAAATGAAAATAGAAAAAAGAGAGAACAACACCAACTTGTTGAGGCAGTTCCCCTGTCGTCCTCGCTCGGGGTATGTTTGCCCTCAATTTTAAAAATAGAATTGAGACATGTATATAAAACCTATTGCAAATTGTTTGTACATGAGAAGCAGTAGAAATAAAACACTCAATCCTAATCGTTGATGCTGAACCTATGCTTTCTCTTCCCTTGATTCAAGATGAGTCAAGTCCTTTGAATATGATGAGTAAACCTCTTATTACGACAACACCTTTGAACCATCCAACGATCTTTAAATCTTTGGCCTGATTGATTCTAAACACCCACAATTCGAACCCAAAGCTTCCTTCCATAATCCCCCGGTTAACGCTACTAAATTGACAGAACCACTCGTTCTTCAATTACCTTCGCTAGGCTAAATCTATGAAGGAACATTTGTGTAGAACCCCCAAAATCCAAGTTTCTTGGAGGACAAAACTCTAATGGTTTTATTCAAGAAAAGCCTACTGATCTCTCAACCCAAACCCGATACAATGATCATATGTTTGGACATTATCATCTCATGATGTAGAATGTACAACAAAAATGGTTATGTGTATTTGTTGAGAAAATGTAATAAAGAGGATGAAGCTGATGAGAGCAAAATCAATGTCTATTTTCACTTTTCTTGTTTTATATGAAAGAATGACCCAAAACAATATATATGTGAAGCTTAGACCAAATAACCAACATAACAAACATTTTAAAAGACAAACATAACAGAAAAATAGAGTGAAACGAGCGAACGGTCGACCTAAAGAAAAGGGGGTCGACCTAAACTCTCCCGCTTTCAAAATTATGCAAAAATTATCTCTTTGCATCGACCGGAACAGGTCCATGTGTCGACACAAAAAAAACCAGTTTTGACAAATTGAAATTCTAATAGTATGAGTCGATCGAAGGGTCGACACGAGCTCTCTTGAGAGAAAATAATAAAAATTCACTCTGTATGAGTCAACCTAAGCAAGCCTTTGAGTTGAGTCAAAGGTTCAGAACTTGCAAAAATGTTATTTTTGACATGTCTTGCTATTTCTAAGGACTTCTAATGCATATCTAAATCTACCAACATGATCAAACTCACATAAAACACATATAATGCTTTTCTATATGAACAAACACATGTTTTTTATAAATGCTTTACCCGAGAGAACAATGGATGCATGTGTGACTCAATGATACCGTCCAAAGTATACATTACTAACTAGATATGTTTTGACATCATTAAAACAAGTATTGAGACAACTTTCCCTCACATGCTCCCCGTTTTTGATGATGTCAAAACAATAGCAAAAATTGAGCACATTGTGTAGTATCATCCTCCCCCTAACTTTATGCATTCATCTAGAAACAATATGAACGTTTGATTAATTTTGTAGGATGATTTTCTGTGTTTTCTTGGTCTTTTCTCCCCCTTTAACAACACCAAAAAGAAAGAAGTAATAGGTGTCGCTTGCGCGAAAATAAGGTGCCGGCATGACAGAAGAGTCGCCACCTTTCGTTATTTATCCCTCAGAGCGGGAAAGGAAACGATCGGAAAAACCTGACGAAAAAGGGTAAGACAAGGTCGTCGCAACCATTGTCTGGGTTCGGGAGTCGGTTACGCAAGGGGAAGGTATTAGCACCCCTCACGTCCGTCGTACTCGACGGGATCCTCGCTCGTTTGTTTACTTGGACGGGTTGGTTATAATCTATCTACCTATCAAGGCTGGCTGAAAAAGAAAAGAAAAATGACTCGGCAAAGCGTCGCACTTTATGCCTACGTATTCTCATCAGAGAATGAGAAATCAGAGTCAACGTAGTTTGGCTAACTACGGGGGAAGGTGGGGGAAGGTTGCTCGCTAGGATATCGCATCCTATGCCTACGTACTTTCATCTGGTATGAAAGATCAGAGCAAACGTAGTTCGGGAAACTACGGGAAAAAGCTCAACTAGGAGGGAGACTATCAAGTCCTACTGTTATCATGCCATGGATTCATCCTATGGTTGAAGTTTGAACAGGGAACTCCTAGATATTATCATGCATAGGTTTCAACCTAAAAGTCTATCATCAAATCCTTATCAAAGGAAATGAGAGTCCTAAGGGATCATGACAATGATACACAGAAACAGACAAAAACATCAGCTTTAACGGTAAAATGCATGCAATGCAAGTGAGGGAGGAAATGTGTGTGGGGCTTCAGCCTCCACAAGCTCATCTCGACCTCAAGCCAGTCATGAAATAACAGTAATCATACTGAAAATAATCAACATGCTATCAAGCAATGAACAGGTAAGAGAAATGAAGTGCCAACAGGCAAACAAAACACAAACTTGAGAAAGAATCAATCTACTCTCTAATCCTAACCCTAATCACAGAATCTGAACAAATCTAAGCAAAGCTCTCAAGCAAAACCCTAAAAAGGGAAATCATTCCCAGTCTTCAAGCTTCAGAACAAGCTTACCAAAGAAAGGGAGCTAAGCAATCAGACTCATAGTGTCTTCCTCAGGAAAGCACTAAGAGGTGTATACTCAGGAGTCATATCCTACGTGGCTCAACCACTGTGATCAGTTTACGTTCCTCCTCAGGAGAAACTAAACTCACAAGCAGGCTCCAACATCACTGGATATTTAGGAAATCCTATTTGAACTAGTGGAGCTAAGTGAATAGACCCATAGGACCTTCCTCAGGAAAGTACTAGGAGGCTTCCACTTAGGAGTTGTATCCCATGTGGCTCAACAACATGTGATCAGTTTACATTCCTCCTCATGAGAAATTAAACTCACAAGTTGGCTCCAACATCATTGGATACTTAAGAAATCCTAGATCAACTAGTGGAACTAAGTGAATAGACCCACAGGACCTTCCTCAGGAAAGTACTAGGAGGCTTCCACTTAGGAGTTGCATCCCATGTGGCTCAACAACATGTGATCAGTTTACATTCCTCCTCAGGAGAATTTAAACTCACAAGTTGGCTCCAACATCATTGGATACTTAAGAAAGAGGTGAGAAGAAAGGATGAAAGTCATTCATAGTGCCTTCCTCAGGAAAGTACCATGAACTTCCTTCAAACTTCAGGCTCTCAAACCTCACAGACAGGGCATCAGCCAAGCTCTGGGTCTCTGAGCTTTGATCTCCAATCTTCACTTCATGATGCTCTCCATCAATATCTTCAAGGCAACACAAGCCCCTCAACAAATTCCTCAGAAAGATCCCCACAGATGAACAGATAACCCACTGAACAGACCAAATCATCAGGCAACCTCAGACAATACCTAAAAATACTAACTAATGGGGAAAAATCTAACAAATATTCACAAGGGTCCTCAACACCTACTCATAACATCTACAAAGGTCTCTACCTAAAAATCAAGATAAAACTCAATCAAAGAAAGGGATTCATCACCTAAACACAATCTAAACCCTAATCAGGATACCCTAAATCAACCCTAATTAAACTAATCAAAATTAATTCTAAAAAATCTAGAAAAAATCCTATGGGGAACTATGACTCATCATCTAATTGCACAAAAAAGAATGGGTAAAAAAACCTAAGGGAATGTCCTAAAATAATTCCTACAAAATCATGATACAAAATTAAACAATTAAAAAGCTATTTGATTGGAAAATCTACTAAAAATATTAAACCTAAAAATAAAATCTCAATTTCATTTTTATAATTTTCTACACATTTTCATCTACTCATAGAAAAAAGAAGGAGTTAAAAATCATTTTTTACCATTTTTTAATGAATTTAACAAAACAGAAAATTATTTAAAGAAAATTAAAACAATTAAAAGAAATAAAAGGGAGGGGGGGTTAGAAAAGTAATACGCGCCAGTTAAATTCATTGGGCCAGCAATAAAGGGGGGGGCGAATAGCATTGAGCCCAGAATGGCTCTCTAAATGAA